AAGCCCAATATTTATATTAAGTACAGTATAAGTTTGTTTGTTTACATTTAAGCACAAAGCTATACAATGAGTTGCCTGTGCTCTGCCCACCACGGGTATCGAAACCCGGTTTCTAACGTTTTAAGTCTGCACAGTATAAGAATACGCACTGTCTAACGTGTATTATAGCACAAATGTTAAGTCTATTAATTTATGTTACATTATCAGATTTTGACACTCAGAATCATGACTGTGAGTTATTCATAGAATCATGACTGTGAGTTATTCATAGAATCACGACTGTGGGTTATTCATAGAATCACAACTGAGAGTTATTCATAGAATCATGACTGTGAGTTATTCATAGAATCACGACTGTGGGTTATTCATAGAATCACAACTGAGAGTTATTCATAGAATCATGACTGTGAGTTATTCATAGAATCGCGACTGAGAGTTATTCATAGAATCATTACTGTGAGTTATAGAATCACGACTGTGAGTTATTCATAGAATCACGACTGTGGGTTATTCATAGAACCACAACTGAGAGTTATTCATAAAATCATGACTGTGAGTTATTCGTAGAATCACGACTGTGGGTTATTCATAGAATCATGACTGTGAGTTATTCATAGAATCACGACTGAGAGTTATTCATAGAATCATTACTGTGAGTTATTCATAGAATCATTACTGTGAGTTATTCATAGAATCACGACTGAGAGTTATTCATAGAATCACGACTGAGAGTTATTCATAGAATCACGACTGTGAGTTATTCATAGAATCACGACTGAGAGTTATTCATAGAATCATGACTGTGGGTTATTCATAGAATCATGACTGTGAGTTATTCATAGAATCACGACTGTGAGTTATTCATTGAATTATGACTGTGAGTTATTCATAGAATCACGACTGTGAGTTATTCATTGAATTATGACTGTGAGTTATTCATCTACTGTAGTTTTCTACACTTATATCTTGATTGAAACCACACAGCTTTACTGCTGGTCATAAAACAATATACCATATATATATATATACAGAACATATGTTAGCTACAGTTTTAAATAATCTTTGTACAATGTTTGATCAAAACACGATATTCAGACCAGCTATATCGATGTCAAAGAGAAATTGTTAGATGAAAATGAATTTTTGAACCTTCGTAAAGGCCGTATAGAACTAACTTTTTCTCCTGTATGTCACGTGCATATTATTTTTTTTCTCCACCTACGGTATTCCGATTATGCTACTATTTTAAAAACAGTTTAACTATCGCTTTATCCATACTATGTTTATCTAAGTTTCACAAAAAAAGTTTTTCTGTTCAATAAAATATTCAAATAATTAGTGGCTACAAAATAAATGATATAACATAGTATAGAGTGTAAGGAGACCCTTGAAAACTATCACGGGAAAGTTGACGAAAATAGCATAATACACAGAAGGCTACATTCGATTTGTGTTTCTAAAAAATATTGAAAAAGCCGGTATTTAAGATATTTGTTGTAATACATATTTCAAATAGCCATATACACGGAAACAAAGAAACGATTATACTACATCTTCTTAACCCTTTTAATCCGTTTATGGTTTTGTCCGAGATTTTAGATTTATAGCATCAGTAATATGGAAACATAGTAACTAAACTTGTAGAAACAATAATATTGTTATCATATTCTACAATACCAAACAATGTATTAAATTGCGATTGTTTGATATAAAAGTACAGAATAAGTTTTCTTAAAATACACCGAACCAGTTTTGTTAGAGACGAGATTTTTTTTAAATCGATTAATACTAGAGCCAGTTTTACTTAAACGTAACAACAAAATTCTTCTATAAATTGATAATACCGTGAGCGTAGTTCTGTAACATACGTAATTTTTTCAACGAACATGTTTAACATTTGAGGGGCTTTCATAGTCGAATTCCATCATTTGCAAAGCTTTACAGTTATTCCTATAACGCCATTAAATGTCTCCATCTCACAGATTCGTGACTAACATGCCAATATGCTTCAGAAAAGTAAATATTATTGATTTCGCAGAAAAAAAAATTTAATCACTAGTTTCAATTTCACGGTGCTTTAAAAAAATGCTATAACCCTTCAGAATAGTAAACATTTGTAATTTTTGTAGGAGAACTTCTTTTAAGGGATTTAATGGTTCATTTAAACTTTGTAAACACTCTCTAACTATTTATAAAAGATCATATAAAAATGCCAGGAAGACAAATTATTTACTTCTAAACAAGATAAATTTTTTCTTGTTTAGCACAAAACTGTACAATGGGCTATCGGTACTGTGCCCAACACGGCTATCGAAAACCGGTTTTAACGTTATAAACCTTCAGATTTGCATCTGCATCACTGGGAGGCATAGATATATTTTTTCAAGATTAAGCTTTTTTTTTCAGTA